ATATATAAGATATCATTGAAATAAAAAAAAATCTAGTTCATTATAAAGTATTAAAAAAACAGCTAATAAACAATTTTTTTTTAGTAAAAAATAGTATCCATTTTATAATTCATACAAATGAGNAGTAAAAAATAGTATCCATTTTATAATTCATACAAATGAGTGGTACAAAGGAAAATCAAAGATTCATAAGTGAATTTTATGATATGTAAGCAGTAATAATCAAAAGTAAAAGTTTGTCAAATTAATATAATAATAAAAACTTTTCTTGAATAAAGTGAAAAGTCACAAAGTAGATGATTCAAAACTGACATATTTGTTAATAAACTTCTTACAGATTGTCAACCTAATATACTCTTGCTATGTACCTCTGTTGTTTCAATAATTTTTAATTCACAATAATACTCTATAATATATACGTACTTAACACACCAACTTTCTTAATAAATGTTACATTCATAACACATGTAAATATTGTACCTGAGAGTCATCAGAACAAAGTTGTATCTCTATTTCTGATGTTTCATACAAAATAAGAGTTCAATAATGAATTTTTACAACTACCTCTGCTGTTTGGTGAGTAATGGAGGAAAACTCAATAATATCGTTCAAAACTAAAATAAATGGGTAAATTTNTGTTTGGTGAGTAATGGAGGAAAACTCAATAATATCGTTCAAAACTAAAATAAATGGATAAATTTTAATTCATGATTTTGATGGTTAACAATGTCCTCGTGATATAGTATCCCAAATCCTAAACTAGGATTAAAGAAACTAGTTATATAATACCAAGATTACGAAAATTAGTTATTTTTGCGCATATTAATTGCAGTACTTTTTTTGATATATTCTACTTTTAAAGAAGTCAACACTCGAAATAAATATGATTCTCAACTAACAATACCATTTTTCCTTTATTTTCAAGTTTTTTTAGGTACATTTCATATTATGATTAAAATGGCTGATTTATATAATACTATACTTTTTATAATACTATAAACTAATGATTCCGACATATTTTATTAAACATAATACAAAAACTTAATTCTTTTATCTTCTTTGTCTTAAAATTAATAATTGTATTTTCTTGAATATGGCAATAAGAATAGTTTAAATTTCAGCGTAGTTCCTATTATTTTTTTATATTTTCTATCTCAACATAATATTTTATTATACTCAAACACGATTGAATTCTGATCAACAAAATTAAGTTTAAAATAAAAACACACATAGGTTTTTTTAATTAACTGACTATGGTAATGTAATTAGATTACACATAAGGTGAACATATGTTTATGATAAAAATATTCAATAGTTGTAGGTGATATTGTTTAAAACTAAATTTATTTACCTTTAAAATCTATAAAAATATATTTTTATTTAGCTATTTTACACTTAGTAAAAATTATCACAATTAGTCTTAAACACATTCTCGCAGTAACTTTTAAATTCAGGCATTTAATATATGTTAAAAAGTTTAAGTACCTTTGTTATTAACAAAATTATCTCAAGTGGTTATAAATGTCAAAATTTTAAGTGTGTCGCGCTGTTGCAAAAAAAGACTCATATTCAAAAAAAATATTTGTTGAAATTTCACTTTTTCAGAAAAACTTTTCTATCAAGAAAAAGAAAAATAACAAATCAATTTTTTTTCTTGTCTACGTAATTTTGCAACTGGATTACTCAATAATACAGACTTTATTATTGATTGGGTGGTATTGTATTACTAGATCAGTCTAGTTAATTAGTTTTTAGTATTTTTGTGATATTTTAAAAAGGACTAACAATAATTGTATTTTATAAATTATTAAAGTATCTTTCATTAATATTTAAATAGTGATAATTCATTGATAATTGACAAAAATACTATTATAAGGATAATCACTTTTTTCATCTTTTTAATGTAGAGCCGTTTGAGTGAAATATTTAATGTTAAAAAACGACATTCAGTTTAATTATTTTGGCCTTAATTCTAATGTTGATTTATGCATAGCTTAGAAAGCGTCAGAGACTTATTGTAGGAACTAAATTAAAATTCTATTAACTTATTATGAAATGTAGTCTATTGTGTTAATACAAAATGTGGTAACATAAAGAAACTTTTTGATTTGCAACTTTATCGTTCAGCAAGAGAAAATGTTCAAAACTAGAATGACAAATTATTTGAATGTATATTCAAAACTAAGAATAATAAAAAATATGCACGAAAAAAATACAACTTTTTCCTACGGTACTAACAATATTTTAATACAGAAAGTATTCTAACAAAATTTAAATATTACTTAAGAATTATGTGTCAGCTATCTAAAAAATAAGGTTATAAATTCCCTATAGCTGATTTTTTTTAAGTAGTGATAACCTTAAGTTGCTTACATAAGTCGTATTATATAAATAAATTTATGACATATATAATGATTATAACTTTACAATATTATTTGAAATTTTACTACTTTTTTTATATAAAATATATAGTTTTTATTTTATTTATTTCTTTTCTCTGTGACACTAGAGTGGCTCATGGAAAAGCAANGTGACACTAGAGTAGCTCATGGAAAAGCAAAAGTTACACTCCGAGTTGGCAACTAAAATTGTTTTTTATTATAAAAAGCTTTAATTAGTTGAAAAATGATTTTATATATACCTAATTAATTATTATTTTCAACAGAATTGTATTTATCGTTTAGGTAAAATATTATTTAACATAGACTAAGTAAACTATTAGTAACATAATACATGCTTTTTACATGATTAATTAAAAAACTTCAATTTTACTCGGTAGCAAAGACAGGATAATTTAACTTTCCTTTAATATTTCAGCAAATTCATTTTTATTAAAATAATATTGTCTTTTAACTAGCTGGTCAATATTTTTTCGTCAAATTTTCTGTAAATATATTTTTCATGGCTCACTGCACATTTGGGATGATTTTAAGTACAAGGCACTAATTATAACTTGAAGGGGAAAGAATAATTTGAATTCATACTAGTTTAAATAGGTTTTTTCGATTATCATCTCGTATTTCAACATTTCCTATTTCACCAAAACACGATTTTTATACTTTAACATTTGGGATAGATAATTTCACTTAATTTTTTACGAAATATCTAAATAAACGGTAAGTTGTTTATACGGAAAAATGATAACATAAAATCTGTACTTATCAAAAATTAGTGTAGTCAATAACATCTTAGCTGCCAAAAAAGTATAGCTTTTAAGCTATCTATGTTGGTTTTAAATAAATGACAAGACAAAATTTAATAACAACACATACCACGTCCTTAACTCCAATCAAATAAGCCTTTAATCGTAAAAAACGAATTTCCGAAAAAATTAGATTTTTCCGATTTTTATAAGAGAAGCTAAAAAGAGCATTAGTATTATTATGTTGTTCCTTTCAAAATTGTAATTGAATCGGATAAAATAATATTTTTTAACTTAGGCAAACAATAATTACTGTTATCAAAAAGAAAAATACATAATGTGACATTTGCTACATTAAATTTAATGGACCTATATTACCCTCATCATAAATATATAAATATAGATACGAAAAAAATATTCAGTTGTAATGTCTGATATCATTAAAAAAGGATGTGATAAATTTTATTTTATAGATTTATTTTTATAAGATATTTGGTGTATGGAAGAATACAAATTGAAATAAACAAATATTTTCCTTATGTAACATTTATTGTTTGAAAATAAATAGTAAACAATTTGAATATTATATTTATATATGCCAACGAAAATTAAGATGAATATATTTAAGTTAATTTGTATAAATGACTCAAAGGTGTTTGTATCGCAAACTTTAAAAATTGAAATACATAATTCATGGAAAAAATACACCATTTTATGTAGTCAATTCTAATTTATTTATGTATATAAACATAATGAATTATAATTATATTTGCATGAAAAAATATTTGTTTTTTGTTATTCGACATGGATAATAAAATTCTAAAGGCGGTAAAATAAAGATGATTAGTTTTTAAATTCAATTCACAAATCAATAGATATTCAGAATTTAAAGAAATACATATAATTTTAGAAATGTTTGAATTTATGTTGTTAAAAATTAGATTATTTTAACTACACGATAAAAGTTTGATTAAAAAAAAAAATGTTTACAACTCTGCAAAAGATATTTGATTTGACGTAAATCTAAGAAAGAAGTTATTAATTATTTTATGTTTTTATTTTTATTTTTTAACGTATTTTTACAATTTTTTGTCACAAAATTGGTGGCTATATACACATAATATCCCTTACGGTTTTTTTTCTAGTTTCTTACACACTTATAGTCCTCCAACCCTTATGGTGCAGCTAGATAAAATATGTTTTGGATGTT